TTTGGTGGAAGGTGAGTTGCTAAAATTTGCCACTTCCTTCATATTTCTGTTGTGATTCCTGTGCTGGTTTAAAATGACAAGGTGCAGATACAGGGGAAGGACTCCGTGAGAGTTGTGCCAAGTCACTTGCCATTCCAATCACCTGTTTTCCATAATAGTTGGAATGTTTGCTGCCTCGCCTCATGGTTTAGGGAATGTTTTGGGTTGCTGTTAGACACCAGCTTCTCATGAATATGACTTTAGTTATTGTCACTCTTGTAAAAAAAGTGTAGCTGAATACTCAGTATTTTCCTTTGGCGTAGGATTTTAAATGCCAGTTTTCTTGGAAGTCTGTTGATCTGAATAGCTGGAGACATTTCCCTTTCTATGCTGAACTTCTGTAGCTGGAAGAAATAACTATGTGACCTTTAGGGAATAAAGAAAATATATTTTTCTGCTTTAAACAAGCCAGTTTGAAACCCTGTGGAACCCCTTGGAACGTTTGCCGGGCCAGGCTGAGGTTCCAGGTCTTGGTACTTTGGCATCAGGGGTTTGTGAGAGGCAGAAGCCACAGACTTTTTGTCTCTGGCACTCAGCTACTTACTGGAAAATACACAAATGTTTTTCTAGATGAGTGATTTGGTTCTGAAGTGTAATTGAAAGTCAGAGCTTGGTTTTATTGGTGGGTGGTGGAAACTCATTTTCTCCGTCCAGGGTCCAGGATCCGTTTGCGAGGCTTGGGAGGAGCAGAGTGGGATCGGCAAAGTCACAGGGCTTCTTCTGATCTGTCCTTCAGCAGTAAAACAAAGTGATTAATCTGTCCTCCTTTCTTGAGGTCTGTGCTGGAGGCTGGGGGATTTCCTCTCCTATCACATCCCTGTTGAAGTGACAGCTTTGTTCTGGCCACAGGCTCTATTTCATGGATAAAACTCGGGTTCCTCAGACAAGTTTCCATCCTGTGTCTCCACCCACTTCAACTGCAAACACTTCATAAAGCTTTGGATCACTCTTAGCTTAAAGATTTTCTTTTATTCTTGCGTTTGTTGAGTAGGTCAGTCTTAAGTGTGACATTTTTTGTATAAAACAGCTTTTTCCAGGAGTTCTGTGGTTGATGAGTCACGGATATAAAACTTCAGTGTTTGATCATGACATTAAAACTGTAATTGATTCTGAGAGAATGGCTGTTCTGAATTCTGCAAAGAGATTGAATGATTATGTTGGGCCTTAGAGCTTTTAGTCACCTTCCTGGACAACCTTATAAAAAGGTATTTTCCCAGAGATGGAAGAACACTGGCTGCCCTTGGAGAGGACAGGGATGCCATTTGGTCTAGATGATCTTTTAAGGTCCTTCCAACCCAACTGTGATATAATTTATCAGTGTTCTGCTTGTAATTAAGGGATATGGCAACCATAAAACAATGTTTTTCATTGTTTTATAACAAACTTTTATCTTTAGGTAAACCCAGACTGATGCTGATTGAAATATCCTCAGTTGATTGATGCTCTTGGGCGGAAGGGGAGCGATTGCTTTGCCTTGAATTGCTGTTCTTTGAGAGTGGTTTATCCCTTGGAGATGTTTCTGAGGTACTCCATATGAATTCCTGCTACTTCAGGCCTCTTGTGCATCCCAAAAGCATCTGCTGATTCCTTGGATGCTTTGGGAGGGGCCGGTTGCAGTGAGGTGGGAGATCAGTCTCTGCTCCCAGCTAACAAGGAAATGGCTTCAAGTTGTGCCAGGGGAGGTACAGATTGGATATTAGGAAAAAAAATTTCATGGAAAGGGTTGTAAAGCATTGGAGTGGGCTGCCCAGGGAAGTGCCTGGAAGTGTTCAAAAAACATGTGGATGTGGCCCTGGGGGACATGAGTTAGTGGTAAACATGGGTTAGTGGTGGGGCTGATGGTTGGACTTTTGATGATCCAGCCTTAACAATTCAGTGCTTCAAGCTTCCAAAAAAGACAGGTTGCCTTTCCCAGCTGCTGTTGGGCAGGAGGCTAATGCTCCATGAGCAGGGACATCCAGAACAGGCCATCAAGGAAAGAGTGTTTTACTGCAACTCCTGCATGTGGCCTGTGCTCTGCTTTGCCCATCTGCTTCTTTAACAGAGAAGATCCCAGTTTATGCCTTCCTCTTCCAAGCTGGTACCTCTCCTGCTTGGATAAGTGCTGCATATTAGTCCGTGGTGAAGTTCTTGGAGTTAGTCCAGCCTTCCTGCAGCGAATCCAAGTTCATGAATGTGGATTTAAATTCCTCCCAATCTGTCTGTCATCCTGTTTTCTATTATGGAACAGCCAATTAACCTGTGGCACCTCTTTTTTTTTTTTTTTTTTTTTTTGAAGAAAACAGGTTTCAGGGAATGTCCCCCTCTCCAATCATGACTGTCCTGGGTTTAGAAATCCCACTTTAGTGCTGTGTGAGGAAAGGTGAAATCTAATGGAGTGATCAAGAATATATATTTTCTCCCTGTGAAGGAGGAGTGAGTTTTGGGAGTGATTCCGTAGTGCTGAAGCACAGAGGAGGCTTTGGATAATGTATATCCTGGCGTGCCTTGGATCCATACGGGTTCAATCACAGGCATTGTTGTTCCAGTCTCCAGATACTGGATCTGGCTATGGCAAAGCAGCTTTATTGAAATAGCGTGTTGGTATTTAAAACAATATTAATACTATATTTGATTCATTAAATATACAAAGGCAAGTTAAAGCGTTACCATGTGTGAGCTGTTAGTTCTGGCGGGAGGTTCTTCACATGGTTTTATGTGGTTTCAGACAACATTTTAGCACATTCTTAAAATACCCACAAAAGCCTTTATGTAAAATCTCATAAAGGTGAACCACATAAAAAATTATTTTTTTTCCTGTTTCATGTCATTAGGATCAAAGTACAGTAGGTAAGAATAAATTTCCCAAAACCTTGTTTCGGTCCCTCTCTTAATTAACGTTTCATGCTCTAGGAAGGTCATAAAGTGGGTAATGGGGGAACTGTCTGTACACACTGTAATGTTCTAAGGGATGCCAGTTCATTTTGAGTGAATTCACTTTATATATGAAAAAGAATATATATATATATATATATATTATATATATATATAATGTTTATTTTCAAGCAGTCTTGGTCTGAAAGTGGACAGTAACTGCTGTTCTCTGGCCTTTGGTTCCCGCTGCCAAAGGAAGAGACTGGAACTGAGGTTTGCTGCAAGGCTGGAATTCCCATTAACTGCATTAACCAAAATCCACTTGTGAATTCCCCAGAGGATATAAAAAGGGTGTTTGTTGGTGTGGTAGGTTTAAGTTGCCTTTGGAAGTCTGGCTTTGGCATGGCTGTGGAGCAAAGGGCTTTCCTTTCCCAGTAGTGTGTTATCAGTGACTTGACAAATGTCATAGGATGGTGGGTGCATGTTGGGCACTGAACTGCCCAGCAGTGTCACCCATTAAAAATAAAATGCTGTGGTGAGTTGATATGAAGTTGTTTCTCCTGGTTTTGGTATAAACTTGGATGCCTGGAACTAAAGGGAATTGAGGCTCTTTGATGACTGTGCCTTCTTGAAACAACATAGTGGAGTGGTCTGTGGGTGCAGAGAATGTGCTTAAAGTTACCTGTGTTATTTGCATTTACTTCCCAATATCTTTTCTCCTGACTTGTGGGAAAGATGGATTAGTGTCCTTGGATCCACAATACTTCAAAGTAATATGAGAAGTCCAAAATGCATGGTAAATTGAATTTTAAATGTCATTCATAACTGGTAGGCTCTTATTTAGAAAGGAAGGGAGCACAAAGGTGAGAAGATTAATTGACTGAGTTTTCCATGTTGACCATGAAGGATACTTTCCTTTCTTGCAGAAGAGGAGGAACGTGGTCACTTGCAGGTCAGTGTGACAATCAGAGGCAGCAGCATAGACCAGTTTAATGTGCCTGACTCTCTCTCAGCTGCTGGGAACTGTCAATCCTGGCAGCTCCTCATGCCTTTGGATGCTGAGCCGTTGCTCTCCTCCAGACAATGAAAAAGTCTGACTACCAAAATTGTGTCACTGATGATCAGCTGAAGTCGCCTCTCCTCCTTTCACATGGTCGTTCTGTGAGTTCATCCCTGATCTGAGAGTTGTGGGGCATAGAAGAGCATTCCCTTTTCCTTGATCCTCCTTAGGGCTGTTTGGTAACTTGAGAATGGAAACAGTAAAATGCTGTGGGTTACAATTCCAGTTTTCTAGAAGCCAAAATTGCTCCTTTTGTTTCTTTCTTCCAACAGTGTTGGGTTGATTACCATTGTTTTATAAGGTGCATTTTCCACCTGGCACAGGAGGAGCCCAGCACTGATGTCATCCAGAGGGAGTGGGGCTCTGCAGGTGGCATTGCTTTTTTAGTTTTCTGGGTGTACTTTTAGTCCCAGAAACCCGAAATTTAGGTAGTCTGGCTTATTGTATCCTGTAGGTGAAGCTGTAATAATAAAACCTCAACACATCCCTTCATTTCTGAGATCCTTGGTTTCAGTTCAGCTCGCTTTACAGTCAATCAATAAATCAGCTTCACACAAACTTTTGAGGCAGCACCATAAAGCTGTTCACTTGCTCCCTTTTGTCTTAATTAGTGAACTTTGTTGTAAAGAACTTCCAAACTTTGCCAATAGCAAGAGAAAAGGGGGGGAAAAAAGACCAAACTGTAAAATAAAACCTTACTCTGCCCACTTCGTAGCTCGTGCTTTTACCAGCTGTTGTAGTTAATTGGAATCAGAGGAATTGTTTGCTTGGGTCCTGTAGCAATCTGTAACCAGCTCTGCTTCTCACCAGACTTTTATTCTCCTTTAGAGAAATGTACAGGGCTTTTTGTAATTAAAGTCTCTACATTATAAAATGATTGGAACTGCTGTGTTTCTGGGTGTGTAACTGGTGAGACTGTGCTGTCTTACAAGAAAAAATAACCTTTGTTAGGACATAGAAATTCTGCTTATTTAAGATTATTATTGCTACCTGACTCTGGCTTGAGCCCTGCTTGCTTTTAACATTCCTCTTGGATTTCATCCTGCAGGTATTTTGAAGGTGGAGTCTCCTCTGTCTACCTCTGGGATCTGGATCATGGTTTTGCCGGAGTGATCCTCATTAAGAAAGCTGGAGATGGATCAAAGAAGATTAAGGGATGCTGGGATTCTATCCACGTGGTGGAGGTTCAGGTACAGCCTCTGGGGCAGTTGATACACCCAAGTGAAAACAAAACCCAGTTAATTCCAGACAATTAAGGAGCACAGGTGTTCATTGAACAATGCAATATTGTGTCAGGGCTGTAAACTTCTTTCCCCTGTAAATTTTTGAAAATGCCTTGAAGCAATTTGGATGGAGATAAGTCAGGGCCATAATCAAAAAGAATCCCAGAAGAATTGAAAGTATGTTACTTTCTGTGCATGTGATCCTGAGATTATTTTTTTTTAACATAAAGGTCTACAGATAAATATCACTAATTAGGTAATAAAAACAAGGTAATAGAAGGGTAAATTGCTCTAACTAGATGTGCTTTGGAAAATTAGAGAAAATTAGAGGAATGTGCACACAGAATTGTTCTTAAGAAACAGACTGTCCTCTGTGAGTGGGGTTAGACTTACCTGTCCTGTTGCTTGTGGGGTCTGCCAGGCCAGCACCCATTTAGCTTTGGAGGGATTTTAACCTTTTGTCTCTCTTTAACCTTTTTGTTCTCTCACTTCCAGGAGAAATCCAGTGGCCGTACTGCTCATTACAAGCTGACCTCCACAGTGATGCTGTGGCTGCAGACTAATAAAACTGGTTCTGGTACCATGAACCTGGGAGGGAGCCTTACCAGACAGGTATGTCTGTGTCCTGTGCACACCTGGGAATGCCTTTCCCAGTTCCACACCCAGTAGCCCCAGTCAGGCCGAAAAAAGTTGAGTTTGTGAGGTGTTGTATAAGCATCTCTTCTACTGTTCTGCAGCCCAGTGAAATGGTAAATGCAGTGTGTAATTACCAGAAAGCCCCTTGAACTGTGCTTGACAGCAGTGGAGCTTGCAATTAAGAATGTAAAACATTCAGCAGGAGTTTAGACTTGCTTTTAAGTCTTAGTTTGTCTTCCGGTATGCCTAAGTTTTTATCCTCTCATCTGTGTTGCAGATATTTTTATCTATAAGATTTGCCCACTTTCTTACTGGAAGATTCCAATAGGATTATAAAAATACAAGATGACCTCTTCTGTTATGTCTCTCTTTTAAAAGCCAGTTAAACCACCGTGAGCAAACCTGTATTTTGCACTGACTGTAGGATTCTCCTGTCCTTAAACACATCAGTTATCTTTTAGTGTCGTTCTTTAGTATTTTCCTCCTGCAGTATCAGGACTAATTAAAAAAAATCTCCTAAAAAAAACCAAACAAAAACATCTTCTAAACATTTGGCTTTGTCTTTTAGTATCTGTCTTTATTATTTTCCTACTGCAGTACCAGGATAGTGATCTTTAAAAATCTTCTGAAAAAAAAAGATAAATCTCTTCTAAACATTTAGAGGTTTGTGCCAGTGTTAATAACTCTTGAGAGCTGTTTTTCACCAGGAAGGTGCCAGACTGATGGGAATTCAGGCAGTGCTGCTGCCTGAGTCTCTGGGTCTGCTGGGTTGGACTCCCGTGGATGAAGGTGCTTCTGCCCCAGCCCACCTGCCAAAGGCTTTGTGCTGCTGAGGAATTGGTAGGCTGCTTAAGATCTGGGCTCTGAAAGTCAGTGACTTGAGCAGAGTAATAAACTCTGGAGGACAGGAGGCACATTGTAAGGTCATGAGTGACTGGAGAGCTTGGCAGCAGCTAAACTTCTTTATGAGCCTTCCCAGGGCAGAGCGGGGCTTTTCCATACAAAGGACAATGCAGACTCTGTTGAAAACCTCCTGGGTTTGTGCAGGTTTGAGTCAAGCAAAAAGGGTCTGTGATTGCAGAGAGGGACTGAAATTGGGTTACTTCTGCAGAGCTTGCCCTAAACCTGGGCGATTTTTATTTCCACGTTGTTGACTCACGGAAGAAGCTGATGGAAAAGCAGGGGAAGGAAAAAGGCATCTGGAGACAGTTTTGAGCCATTTTTTTGGACTGTTTTAAAATGTTTGCAGTAATTACACCCGAGTTATGGTGACCCGGACAAATATTTAATCCCAGGCCTGGCTAATACTGTAAATCAGAGCTGTGAAGTGCAGGCCAAGGGCTTGACTCTGGCCACGGCCTCCTGGAGCACGAGATGAGCCAAGGAAAACAAGAGTCTGTGCGGAATGGGTGTCCTCAGTACACCTTGGCCTGAACTGCTGGGCCTTGTTTAGTTTGACTTCCACTCTCAAAGCTGGAGTGGTGAGATTCATGCTTCTGTCATCATTTTAACAGCAGAACATTGAATTCAGATGTGATGCATTAAAGCCAGGGCCCATTTCCAATGTAAGTAACCATGAACCAGCCACTGGGGTGATGATGCTCAGCTCCTGCACAAACAATGGAAACTGGAGGGCAAATTTAAGCGTGGGGATGGGGATTTGCTGGTTGTGGATGCCACAGAAGGCTTGATGGGACAGAATCCACAGCAGACAACTACAATCTTCACGCTGCCTTGAGGTGTGCAGTGTGAGCAGGAACCGTTTGTCCCAAGCCTTGTATTCAGCTGGACTAAACTCCTGAGTGCAAGGCTTGTACTTTGCTGTAAATCCAGTTTGCCACATCACCTAAGGACAGCAAGTCTTATTTTTACTTTTTAATCGGCTTTTTATACAGTCTGCAGGAAACGTAGCCACCAAAATTAGGTTTTAGTTACCTCTTGAATGGTATGGTACAGTTTCACCTTGGCAATATCAGTAATCAGTAATATTTTGAAGTTATTTTGTCTGTGGTAAATTGTACATGGTTTTGGTCAACTCAACAGTTAAGCTACTTGACCACCTTTGATGTTAAAATGTGAATAGCAGATGTCCTTGTGTTTCAGAGGAAGCTTTTGAAGTGTTCACAAGCTTGGTCATATCCTGGCTTACAAACTGATGGCAGAGGGAACCTCTCAGTGCTTGGAAAGGAAGGTCTGGGGAGAACCATTACTTTGAAACCAGTTTGGCCTCTTAGCTGCAAATGGGGTACTTCTTGAGTGCTGATGGAATGATTAACTTGGTGGCCAGGAACAGGCCAAAGGAACAGCTCTTGGAATGTGTCATGGTAGAGCTGAGCTTGGAGCTGGGCTAAGAGTCCAGAAATAGATGTTCTCTGCTGCCGCTTCCTACCAATGAGATATTGTTACCCTGCATCCCTCACAGATGGGCTTTTTGTTGCCTTTGCCAGAACTTTCTGGAAAAACTCATAATTGATTTATATATGCACATGTATTAACTTTTATCCTGAGAGGATGAGATCAATTCTTAGCCAGCTCCATGCATGTAGGATGGTAATTTTGTCCTGGAAACTTAAGAGAGAATTAAAACTGAAGTGACATGTTCATGTTGGGCACTTGATTAGATCATGGCTGAAGAAGTCCTTTTGTGTGGCATAATACTTGTCCTTTTTCCCAGTGAAGGTTTGTTCTAATTTTTGGGAATGTTGTTCTACATAAATACACAGAGAGTGCAGCCATCCTTGTTTTGACTCCAAAGTGCATTACAGAAGAACTTTTTGGGGGAACTGGAAGGACAAAGCTGATTTGAATCTTTTTTTTCCCCTTGCTCATGTCCTGCAATGTCAGGTAGAGCAGTTGAACAGTTGCCTAAACAAGGGGGCTCTTCCAAACCCTGTTTTGGATGCAGCTCAGGAGAGCTCAGAGTTGAAGCACCACAGGCCAGGATGGAGGAAGTAACTCCCAGCTCACATCCCAACACTGGCAGGATTCACTCAGAACAAGGACTGAGGTGGAATTTGGGTAGGGAAAGATGGGTTGGGATGTTACACTCCCTCTGCATGCCACGGTTAGAAATGAAGGAAGGACAGCATACACTGCCTCAATTTATAGCATAGGGAGCAAGGCTTGCAGGGAAATGAACTGTGTCAGCAGCTTTTCCATTCCCTTCTCCAGGGGCTGCAGGTAACTCCCACCATCTGATTCAAGCCAGATGCCTGGCAGGGGATTTTCCCTGACAGACCTGGGTGTCCTGTCCTCTTTGTGTACTTTGGAATTACTTGTGTCATTTGCCAGGGCACCGAATGGCTTTGGCTGAACTCTGAGGTTCCATTTTTCTTTAAGGTAGGAGCAGCTGTGTGATCCTGTTTCATTTTATGCAAAGGAGATGCAGGCTGCCCGTTTTCTGGCAAACAGTCAAAACTGCACTTTGCTGGATGGACTTCTGGACCCCCCCCTTGAAAGCAAGACCAACAGGTGCCTTTCTGAGATGTCCTTGTGCACAAAGAACCTGCGTGTTTCCTGAGCCAGGATGAACACTGAGGAAGTGCAAGTTTGCTGAGGAAGAAGTTGGCTCCAAACCTATAGTTTATTTACATTTAGAGATGTGGGAAGGGGAGGATATAAAGTCACAGGGATGTGAGGCCTGAGATTTTGGATTAAAGCAACTCAGATCTGTGTTGAATTTTGAACTTTAAACACGCTCCAGTGGCGGAAAAACGTTCTGCAGAGCTGGATGAAGGCTGGGCTGTGCAAACAGAGCAATCCCTGCGTGCTGAGGGATGTTCCCTGGGATCTGTTGCTGCTCAGTGAAATGCCAGCAGAGCCTTTCTGCCATTTATCATCCCAGGGAAATCCCTGTGCTCAGCAATTGGTAGCGTCATCGATTTCCATCAAGTCCAGCTTTCATGTCAAGGCCCATCCCACCCACTTCCAGATGTTGTAACAGGAAGTGTTTTTTTCACCGGTGGGATCTACTCGTGATCCTTGAGCTCCCCCTCAGCAGCTGTCCAGTGCACTGAGCAGGATTTTGGGATGCAGAGGATGTACTGACCAGGGATTGCCTGGGGAGTTATTTCTGCTTCCCTTTTCTGTCGTGAGAGTGGTGAGGCCCTGGCACAGGGTGCCCAGAGAAGCTGTGGCTGCCCCAGCCCTGGAAGTGCCCCAAGGCCAGGTTGGATGGGGCTTGGAGCAACCTGGGCTAGTGGAAGGTGTCCCTGCCCGTGGCAGGGGGGGGGACTGGATGGGCTTTAAGGTCCCTTATGGATTTCAGATTGGTTCAGTTATATGATAGTTTAGAAAAAGAGGGAGTAGAAGAGTTGAGCATGTCTGGACTGGTGGCATGTGGAGGGTATGTAGCATCCCCAGGTTTGCTCCTGTACAGTTTGGTACAGGATATGGGATATCTTTGGTTACACTGGTGAGAATAAATCTACATGAAAGGATGAGGTCAGTTCTCAGCTGGTTCCTACAGCACTGCTTCCCTCAGAGCTTACAACCCTCATTTGTCTGCTTACAGTTTGAAATAAATGCTGGAGAGAGAGGCCAAACTTTGCCTTGCTGATATCCAAATAATTCCACATATTTTCCACCTGGAGACTTCAGTCTGCCCATTGCCTGTGGCTTTGGGAGCTTTTGGCTCAAATGGCTGTTTGTGTTTCATTAAAGGGATTTTCACATTGCTCTGTGGCCAGAACAGCTGTGGATGTTGTTGGTTCTTCGGTGCAAAATGGCTGATGAGCTCCCTTCTATCTTCCTGGTATTTTGGGGCACTTTCGTGATGGAACAAAATGTTTCTCCAACTAAAGTTCTCTCTTTGTATTACTTCTCCAAGTACTGTTTACTGAAAGCCCAGAAAACTGTTTTATTTGATGCAGGAAACATCCAAAATGACCAACCAGCCATCGAGAGCTCAGTATCCCCAGCAGAGTGAGCTTCCCTGTGAATCACAGTGGGAGCAGATGGCTGGGAAGGGAGGCAGGGAAGCCAACAGTGGATCTCCAGTGGGAGAGCAGCAACTGAGCCATGTCTGTGGGACTTGGCTCATCCTGGTTTTTGGCTGAGCTCAGCGGGCAGATGGGGAGTGACAGTGGGAAGATGAGCTGCTTGTTAACGTTAACCTACAGAGGGGAATTTCCCCTTGAAGCAAATTAACCCCTTTATTTAAGCAGCCACTGGAAGGAACCTCTAAAAATCCCACCAACTCAGCAAAACCTGACTTTGTGTAGGACAAGGCTGATCCTGCCTCTGCACTCCATTTAGCAGCCTCCTGTAACATCTGGCCTTTGAGAGCACATGAAAATGTTTTCCTTCTGGCAGCAGTTTTTATGGAGATGTAATAATATACGTTTTGCAAAAAAAAATAATTCTGTTTTCAGATTCTGCTTCTTGCCATGGAGCTTGGCCTTTCCAGGTGTGGAGGAGGCACATTAGGGAGCCCATGGAAGGAACTGACGCACTGCCAGCTCCTGACTGCCCCAGATTTGGGCAGTTTGCTGGTAGTTCCCAAACTCACCATGACATGTACATGTGTGTTTGTGTAGTTATGTTCCTCCTCCACTTCAACTGGATCCATTCTCCGGGCAGTGTCTCCATGCCATGTAAACAATCTGACTGCAGTCTACAGGCAAAATTAAACATCCTCATGCTCTTTCTCCCCCTCTTGCAGGTTATCTCTTGCCTCTGGGTTTCCAGCTCAATTACACGCTTCCCCAAGCCTGTTACAGACTTGGCTGATTAGAAGAAACCTGTAACTGACCCAGATTTTTAAACTCTACCCTGAGGGAGGGATAGGAACAGATGGATAAGAGAATTCATTGGGATTAGTAAAACCCTTTGAAGACTGTTCTTCCCACTACATTTTTCTCCCGGTTTTGTTTCCGTGCCGTCTCAGCAACACCTTGTGTCAGTTGAGGTTTCTGGGACTGGTGTTCGTTGTTCAGCAGCTTGTCCATGTCTTAGCCACGGTTTTCACCTCAAGAACTGGAGAAGATGGTCTTTTCCTTAGCACAAGTCAGGGATGGCTTCTGAGTGGGCATCCTGTGGGACAAAGTCAGATGAAATCAAGTGAGTGGTGCAGTTCCAGCTCCCATTTTTTGATCTTAGGGATGAAAAATTGTTCATGGACCTGTCTCCTATTCAGGTACTGCACTAAGAGCACTGATGTCATTATACACTTGAGTTTATCCAGCTCTGAATTTCTACTGCAAAGAGCACAATTTCTACTGCAAAGAGCAATAAAGAAACTGCTTCTTTCCCTCCCCCCATACTTACTTTGTACTTCCTTCCTCTTAATAATCAGGTACATGTTCATGCAACTTTTTGTCTAAAAAGAAAAAAAAGAGATACAAACAGTCAAATTTCTCTTTCCACATTATTTCAGTAGTTTAAATCATCACCACCTTTGCAGGTTTTTGTGAGTTTTGTATTCCCTGCACTTTCCCTCTCTACTGGAAGGGAAATAATGCCTGAGGTGTCTTTTGCCAGGAGATCCTGAGAGTGGAGGATGTGCCCCAGGTGTGGTTGGAGGTGGTGTTTGAGATGAAGATGAAAAGAAAAGGCTGTTTTTGAGGGAGAGTTCATAGCTGGTCCACTGCCAGCACCATCCTCGTGTGCAGCCCCTCAGCACCAGCCTTTAATACCCTCCGTGCTGCAGAGCTTCTTGTGCTACATGTTCCCTCTGTAGATCTCCTGCAGCCCCTCAGTAGGATGGAGTGACCAGGGTTTTATTTTCATCCATGGTTTTTATTACACTGCGTTTCTGTTACCAACCTGTGCCTGTGTCGAGTGCTGGGAGTGTCTCAGCATGATCCTGGGCTGTTTGCACAATAAAAGAGTTTTTGAGACCCACTTTCTCCCACCCCTCCTGGATGTTGCCACACGCTCCCCTCAGGTTTCCATGTTTTTGATGGCTCAGTGTGTTTTTTTCCAGATGGAGAAGGATGAGACTGTGAGTGACTCCTCGCCCCACATAGCCAACATCGGGCGCTTGGTAGAGGTGAGTGCTGGGAACAGCAGCTCCAACCTGCTGCAGGTTCTTTGGGCCAAATTTGGCCACATACATGAAAATTTTGTTGTTTATTATTTTACAAACAAATTATTTATTCCTGTTGTGGCTGTGGCTTGGTGTGTGATGGCTCTGTGCTCCTCCCAGCATCACTTCCAGCCATTTGGTGATACAAAACCACCACTCTGCCCTTTGGTTCCTGCTCAGCACAGCAATAATCGTCCTGGAAAATAAGTTCCTAACCTGAGAGCTAATTAATAAATTCCTACCCCCATGCTTGCTTTTGCAGTCACTTTTTGAAGAATTATTTCAAGTTAGGTTGTTACACACAACTCTCCTTGAGCTGAAAGTTCAGTGTGTATCAAGTGCTTGTTAAATCCCCTGGAACTGGGTTTAGCTGCCAGTCCTCTAAGCTCAGCACAAGGGGTGAAGCTGCTCAGAAGGTGCAGCACTGTTTTGCTGTTTCGTTATACTGTCCTGTATGGAGAGTTCCTAGTTCCCTTGATTTTCATAGCCACTATGGCCAGAGAGGAGGAAATTCTCTACTAAAATAGACTATAATGCATTTTTATGTGAACTGGGAAATTAAAGAAAGGCAGCTGCTTCTTTTTTGATCCCTTTTCTAAGTTTTTCGCTTGAGTGAAAGAAACCTAATGAAAAAATACTGTGTAGTTCTCTTTCTCAAAACTCTCTGTCATGCAGCTTTAAAGAACAAGTCAAAAATTCAAAGTGATCCCTAAGCACAAAACTATTGACTGTTGGTTATCCCCAGTGACTGACTTGGTACTCTGAGCCCATTCAATGCCCCAGGAAATTGCAGGGGAAGGTTGAGGTGAGATGCATTTTCCTTTTGTGCAGAACGTGGATAGCTGGAGAGAAACTGCCCTCTCGTGGTCCAGAGAAAGATCCCACGGCCTGGAGTGGTTAACTGGGAGGAGAGAGTGGGAAAAAAGCCTTTATTTCTTTGGTTAGAGCAGAGAGATGGGGTCAGAGTGTGTTTGGTGAGGATCTAAATAATAGGAATACACCAGGTTGGGCCTGTCTGATGGGTGTAGTGTAAGTGCTGCACCATTCCTGAAAACTGATCGGATTTCATACCCTTTTGCAGGACATGGAAAACAAAATCAGAAGTACACTGAATGAGATTTATTTTGGAAAAACAAAGGACATCGTTAATGGGCTGAGGTAAGGAAACTCCAACTGGGAGTGGGACCCCCTTCCCATCCCTGTGATGCCACCCCTAGCCTTGATTTGCTTTTGTTTCCCCTCCCTGAGCTTTGGAACATTATTTGTTGCGTGAAGTTCAGAGAACACTTCTACTGTAGAAATCTGAAGCAGTGTTTTAATCCCTTGTTCCCCCACCAGGAGGAAAATAGCCCAGCTAACAACACTTGTATTTCAGGATTATTTTTAATTAGAGGGTTTATTCTTCACAGTCCTGGAAGTTGTACTTGAATTCTGACTTCTCTTTCTGCTATTCTTTAAAACAGTCCCAGAATTAAGTTATGATGTGAGTGGTTTGTGGTATTTAGACTTTGGTTTAAATTCTGTCTTTTCTCTCAACACCACTGGTCAAAATACAGTGTACTGGAAGAGATTAAAGGAATAAATCTCCTGTGCCTTTCTATAGGGAAACTGTGCTGTACTTTTCAACCCCTGCCCATCCCTGGACAGGAATTTGACATACGAATCCCAGGCTGGTAGTTCTGCTCCTAGAGGGAAGCACAAAACAGATGCCAAATTATTTCGTTTTAAGTGCAGAGAGATTTTCCAGCACAGTGTGATAATATGGAATAAACAGCACAAATAAGTGTTCTGATGTTCTCTCACAGCCTGGCATGTGGAAGAAGATAGAAAAAAGGTGCTAATTGTTTGTGCTGCACCATGGGCAGGGGGAGTTGCAGTATCTGCGAGAGCAGCTGGTCTGGGTCCTGTCCCAAACCCCAGCCTTCATCACAGACCTGTTTCCCTTTGTGCTGTGCAGGGTTTAGCCAGGAAACATTTATTAACAGTCGAGGAAATATGTAATAGAGTCATTTTCCGTGTGAGCGTTGCCTTCAGCTGCTGCATTGACTCCCTGCTGTGTCTCCCATCCCTCAGTGAGTCCTGGCACTGTGGGCAGCGCTGAGATCTGCTCAGGATTGGTAACACACGGAGCGTCGGCTCCAGCCTTCCCCTGCTCCTCCTAACCTGTGTTTTTACACTCCTTCCCTGGCGGTTTCCAGAATCCCGGATCTGTGTGCCTGAGTTCTTCTGACTGTTCTTTTCCCTGTTTGCTCCCTGGTTTCTGACTGCTCTCTGTAGATCTATCGATGCTATTCCTGACAACCAAAAGTATAAGCAGTTGCAGAGGGAACTTTCTCAAGTGTTGACCCAGCGCCAGATCTACATCCAGCCTGATAACTAAACCAATCCAGGTACCCCTCGCTGCCTGTGAGGTGTGAGAGCAGCACTAAACCAGGACTCACCCCGCCCAGCCCTGCATGGTAACGGGACAGAACTAACCCCTAATCCCGCAGACTGAGCAGCGACGTCGGAGCCGGGTTCCACCCACGGGTTGTTTCCTAATATGGGCAACTAAGCACTGGGATTTCCATTTCAAATGTCAGGTCCCCCCATCTGAAGCCTCGCGCTCGGAATTGTGGCAGGATTTACCACTTTGCACTCTGGCTTGGGAGCAGGAAAGTAGCACGTGGTACCTGGAGCGGTGTTGGATTGGGCTGATTTGATCCAGAAGCCTTGGGAATCTGTCCCTTGGGCACCAGCAGTTTTTTACAGCTCTGTACACCACTTCCAGGATGGAACTCCCTGTAATCTTAATGTCCTCCCTGCAGAATGAAATCTTGGGAGTCTCACAGTTTGGGAAAAAACCCAACTGGTACTTCCCATGAGTTCAGAGCTCACATGCACATCCCACATCCCCTGTTTGCCGGGTGGATCTTGAATTTCCTTGGAGCTTGAAACCCAGTCCTGCTCAAGCTCACTCAAACATCCCAGCCTCCACTTGCTTGTGCTCTGCACGGCCTCCGAAGGGGTTTGTTCCTCTGCTCTCCTTTGCTCTGGAGCTCTGAGTGTCGAGGATGCACAGCAGTGACTAACCCTGGGCCACTTTAACCTCCCACTCCACCTCTAATGGATTACAGATGTTGTTTTAAACCCATTAAGCTGACGAAGGGGAAAACTCACTATTTGTTGATAATGGCCAAGAACCACTTCTTCAGCCTGTGACAAATGCAAATATCAAATGTATGTGTTTTTATTAAAGCAGCAGAAGTCTCCAGAGACAAGAGAATGGAAATACTGTTATAAAAATGGTAGGAAAATATCCACCATAAAGAGCAGTCTTGTTTACAGGAGACAGCATCCAGGGAAAATAAGGCTTTGAATCATATAATCCCAGGCTGGTTTGGATTGGAAGGGCCCTTAAAGCTCATCCAGTTCCATCCTCCTGCCATGGGCAGAGACACTTTCCACTATCCCAGGTACTGAGTACTGAAAAGGCTGTGAAATATGGTTTGGGTGAGGAAATATCTTACCAAACTGGATTCTTACCACTTCTCCATGGTAGCAACTCTGGAAAAGTCTGGTCTTATCATTCTTATCATGGTCACATTTAAGAGGGTCTTTTCTAAAAGTGGAAAATTCTTGTTGTCCCATTGGAATCAGTGGTTCCCCTACAGCCATCTCACAGGGCACTGATCCGAGGGACTGCTGAAAGATGGAGCTTTTCCTCTGTACTTCTATCCAAAGGGAACCTCTGCAATAATCCTGTGACAGTATCTCTGTTCTTCTTCAGCTGCTTTGATCACTCATTACTTAGAGAAGGTACAAAAGAAGGCAAATTTGAACCCAGAACCTCTGGCTGCTTTTCCCACCAGTGCAAACACCGAGGGGAGTTTTGAGGCGGCCGCTCGACCCTGGGTGAACAGTCTGCAGGATGGGCAGGGGACTCCCCCTGCCTTTCCCTTCTCCTTGGGTGGAGGCTGGATTTTCTCTGGACTTTTGGAGAGCAGGAGCACTAACCCCCTTTGCCGGTGGGATGCTGGGGTTCTTCTGTAACATAAAATGTTGGAAATCTCCCTCCAGCAGCTGGAGCTGCCGGGGAAGCCTTTGGTGCCATCCTTGCTGGAGTGAGTTTTGCTTTAATGTCCTCACCCAGGTGTTCATTGCCTTCTGCTTCCTGTGGTCCAACAGGCAGAGCTGAGTGTTCCCTCTGGGCCTGGGCTGAGGTGCTTCTCCTCCCTCTTGCCTCCATGCCTGGACTGTCCCCAACCCCTCCCCTCCATTCAGCACCTCTGACACGCCTTTCCTTCTTCCTCACAGGTCTGTGCAGACTTTTGCAGACAAATCAAAACAAGAAGCTCTTAAAAACGACCTGGTGGAGGCTTTGAAGAGAAAGCAGCAAAGTTAAAATCCTCTCCGTGCTAACCAGACATGCCATGCACTCATTAGATTCCTTTGGTAGAGAACTCATCCCCCTGCCCTTTTCTGTTCCGTCACATCACGATTTGCATCCAATACTCTCCATGCAACGCCATCTTCTCCCCATGAATAAAGCTGTACAAACTTTTTCAGTCTCTGAGGCCTACTTTGCACCACATTTTACTATCAAGACCTTAGGCTATGTTTCTGTAGAAGTCCATGTATTATTTTTTTCTCCCCCACCTGTCTCCCACCCTCCCCCGTTTATATGCATCACCACGGATCATTGTTTGTCTTTTCCTCCCTCACCCCCCTCCTGCCTTTTGTTACATTGGTGTAAAAAATGTAAAACAAAAATTTATTAAATACTGTGGTGTGTGAAAGAGGAAGAACTGGAAAAAAAAAAAAAGAAAAATAATCTATTCCACGTATGTTTGGGGGCTGGGCACAAGGGCTGGCTGGTGGGAGGGAGGGAGGAGAGGGTGTTCCTTGGGATTGTACGATACTGACTCACCCAGATGTGCAGGAGATGGTGATTTGGAGACCTGCTGAAAATTTCTTCTTTCTTTTCTGGTTCCAAGGCGCTTTTCTGTCAATTTTTATGGAATGCAAAAGGGGTTTTTGTTTTGATTTTTTGGTTTTTTTTGTAAAGCTTAAATTGAATCTACATCTGATACTTGAGCCTCCATACTAAAAAATGGGAAAAAAAAAAAGAAAAAAAAAGACTAAAACAATAAAAATAAAAAAAATCCCAGGAAGAAGTGTCTGTGGTTGGTGTCCTTGTTTCTCTTGCTTTCCTTGCAGGGTTATTTGTTTTTTGTCTCATATCCAGATGAGCTGAATTGTATTTGTTTTGAAGAGGGTGTGATGTCCCACTGCTCTTCAAGGGCCTGCTGCCCTTCCAGGGTGCTGGGATTGAGGCTCCAGGCATCCAGCAATGTGGAACAGGTGTATTTAGAGGTGTGTTAAATACAGGCTGGGGTGTCAGTGTGTCCAGCAGGGCAGTGGCAGAGGAGCAGCATTTGATAGGTTGGGGTAGATGGTTCCACCCATCAGTGCTGACCCAAAAGCTCCTGTGCTTGGTCCTTGTGTCATCTGTGAACCTCACCCAGAGTCTCCTCTTGAACCTGTTGGTGGGCAGAGGGACCTTGCACAGCTCTGGTTTCACTGCTCCAAACCTAATCCTGGGCAAACTGGGAAAGGAAATAAATACCTGCTGGGCTCTTCCTGTCCATGGCCATTGAAATTACCCTTTGGGTGAACCTCTGCAAATGGACACTGCTGGCATTAACATTGATTAATGTGCTCTGATTTTGGCTGACATGACCTGTTTCACCCCCATACCCCGCAGGTGATCAGTGTTTACCTGGGGCTTGTGGTCCATAATGGAGCTCCTTGTGGGACACAGGCTGGGGAAGGCAATACCTGTCTGCCTCAAAGCTGGGATCCCCCAGAGAAACACATTGAGATTTGGTCATTTCCTCTTGGTTCTGTCCAAGGAAAAACCTTTTTTGAAGCTGGAGATGAGTTTGTGTGAATTCTTAAACCCAGGAGGGGGAAGGCTGGTGTGTTGAGGTCTTCATTTACCTTCTCACTCTGGGATATGTGTTTTCTGCCTTTCTGGTTTAATATGTACCTCTGCAAAATCTTAACTTGCAGGAACAGGGCTGCAGTAGTGACTTGGAGGGATGAAAACCTCAGGGAAAGTGTCAGTGGCAGGAATTTGCACCCACCGCCTGAGATGGCAGCAGGTGTGGAACCTCCCTTTGCCAAACAGCTGCTCACCCTGCTCCATCCTCTGTAGCCCAAGTAAGAGTAAACCCACTTGTACTCAACTTGTGCTTTGGATCCACCTATGGGGACAAATTATATTTTATATGTATAATTTTTCCTCCCTATGTTGGAGGTTCTTTGTCCAGCTTTAAGAAAAGCCCTTGGTTAGCCAGGATGTGGCAATTTTAAATGGTGGAGATGAGGGATTTGCTCATAGTATGGATTAGAACTGGATAGGAATTGTTTTTCTACAACTCCTAGGGAACGACAGGAGAGGAAATCCTGCTGGCTCGAGGATGAGCTGAGCAGCCCCTTCACCTGAGAACCTGGAGGGGCAGAATCATGAATTGATTTGTTTCAAAGGGCTCACAGAGACCGAAAAATATTTTTTCTTTCCGAAATGAATGGGTCAGTCCCAAATACTGGCCCAGCTTGTGCTTTAATTGACCTGCTGGTGCAGGTCGATTGGGTACTGAGGACTTTGACTCCTGTTTCCAGGCTGAGCTGTGTAATTGAGGAGCTGTGGCTTGGGAGTCCTCACTGTGAGGATAAACAAGCAAGGAGGGCAACTTCCTGGGAAAGACAAATGTCATGGGCCTGGCAGAGGAATCATAAATTAATGATAGTAGAGTACAACACTGGGTATCAGAGGGGAAAAGGGAAGCAAAAGGAAGAGCTGATAGTGATTGCAGGGAAAGGACAGCTCTTGTTCTCACAAGGACAAGCTGTGTTAGTTTTTCCTGAAGGCCTTACAGGCTTTGTTTGGTTTTCCTCTTGCTTTCCTGGTGAGACTGAGCTGCTCATCCCTAGCTCAGCACACGGGAGGGAACCTGGAGTGCTGGGCTGATCCATTGTGTGGCTCCACCTCCGTGCTCTTCTCCCGGGGACACGGCTTTTCCCAAACCACCCCTGGTTCCAGTCCCTCTGTGATCAGGGAGCCACTGTACTGATGTGCAGGGCCCCAAGAGGGGCATAAATTCATCAGTGTTGGGGATAAACTCATCAAGTTGGGGATAAATTCATCAACAAGAGAGGGCAGGACTGAAAAGCAGAGGAAGCAGAGAGGCAGCTCTTCTGCTGGGTAACAGAGAGAGCAACTTCCCTAAGGACTCCATGTAATTAAAACATGGGTGAGGCAAAAAAGTGAGAAGTCAGAGAACTGGGACTGTGAAAGTCTTTAAGAAAGAGGCAGGAGCTGCCAGGTAAACTGGCAAAATGAAACCAAAGGAGGCACGTGGGGAAGGACGTGGTTTATAGCTGTGCTAATTAAAATAGGTGTCCAAGGAACGAACACTTTGGTTGTGCTGCTCCTTGGATCCAGGCACTGTGTGTCTTCCAGAAGCTCAGGGGTGGAGTTGTGAGGCCCACAGTGCTGCTGTGTCTGTGGCAGGTCCGTCATCCCTGTCCCCTCCCCACTCAGGCTCCTCCCATGTTTGCCAGCACCAAGGAAGCTCCAGATCTCCCTTGAGAGACGCAGCAGTGCCCAGGCTCAGCTGTGGGGCATCAGAGCAGGAAAGAGCAACTGAGGTATCAAATAATTCCCTTTTATCCCAATAGTATTGGTATCAAAGAGGCACAAGTTCAAACAGCAGCATCCTCTGCCACTGTTGTTGCAGCACAAGTCACCCACTGGCTCAGGTCCTCTTCTCCCAAGAGCCACCGGGGGGGGCTGGTTTGCCCGGTGTTTAAGCACTTTCTTCATCTGCATCCTCCTCCTCTCGCTCCAGGCAGGTCCCTTGGTCAGCTCTCCAGGCTGTCACCCTGCTCTCCAAGAAGAGCATCCCTCTCCTCGTGGGTACTGGCTCTTCCCTTCCGATAGGCAAGGAACTGGAAGGAGATCTGAGGAGAGGTTAAGGCTCTTCACGCACACAAGGGAGGATCTGTGTCCTAAACTGGGTCTCACCACCTCCACAAAGGGTGTTTGTGCCAGCAGAGGTGGAAACAGGGCAATGCAAACAAAGGGTTGAAGCATTTCAGCTGTTGCAACACCACAAATTACTCACCTGCACTTGGGTGAGCAATCCCTGAGTAGCGTCAACCCACCCTTCTCCTGCCTAACCCTGCCTGTTCCAGGGCAGGATCACTCCCTGCAAAGTCTTACCAGTGGGGTGCGATTCCAGAGGGAAGTTTTGGCAGGGGAAGGATACAACTACGTCGAGAGATAGGACCCCCAGGCTGCCCACCAGCCAGGGCAGGTGGTGCAGGACATAGTCACCTTCACCTTGGCCTGGCTCAGGGTTCTTCAGGAGGACACTGAGGCCATAGAGAGAGTTCCCCAACATCACCAGGGCAAAGAGGGAGTAGGAGATCCCAGTGGTGGATTTCCTCTTGTACTGGGAATAGCGGGCACAAGAAGAGCAGCTTGGGTGCAGCTCTCCTAAATAAAGTGGTATTAATCATCCTCTCCCCGAAAAAAGAGAAGAAAAAAGGTGGTGACTCAATGCCAAGAGCCCTTTACTTCCCCTTTTACTTGTAAATAAGACAAAATGAAAGCCACACCCTCGAAATATTGGTAGGTTAAAGGGAAGGGAGAAAAATAAATTGGGTTTTGGACCAGAAATACAGAAAAATAGTCCCTTATGAAATCATCAGAGACACAGTCCTGGGACTTCTGAGCAAAGAGGAGAAAGAAGATCCCAGCAACCCCCTTGGTCAGGGCCCAGGGGGTGCCCAGGGCCGGGCACTCACGTTGGTGTAGATCTGGGGCAGTCGGGAGCACAGGTACAGCACGGAGGACACGGAGCCGATGGTGAATCCAATGATCTCACTCCTAGTGAAAGGCTGCAAGGAAAGGGGGAGCCAGGAGCAGCTCAGCATTCACACCGTGGCCCCCAAACCCAGCCTCTGATCTCCCCAGCTCTCCCTCATCTGATAGGTCCTGTGTTAATTATAACTGATAATTATATTTCATTTTACTATAGGAAAATATGTAGTCTAGTTCAAACTCTTATAATGGGAATTGGGTTTATTTTCATTGTTTGGAGAGGTCCTTCACTATTGCCAGTGCAAAACTCTTCTGCAAACCTCCTTTTACTGAAGCCAATTGAGTTACTTTGCTACACTTGCTTGCTGGCTGGCTTTTCAATTATGTATATATGTGCATAACTGGAAAAAAGAATAAAAGGGGGAAAGTCTCTCAAATTTCCTGAAAACAGTCACTCTTTATGGCTGTGGTTTAATGTGAATGAACGTGGTTTAAATATCACATTTTTTAGAGAATGTCCATCCTATGCAGCTCCCTGAAATAATATCTATTCACAAACAGAGATGTCGTAAATGCTGCTGAATCTTGAGCAGGCCTTGAAATGTCTGAAATCCTGCAGCAGACTATCCCTGAATTTTGGAGCAATCTTTTAAGGCCTCTTTCCAGTGTCACCTTCCGAGACTGTAACACTCTGGAGAACAATTTGCTCCTGAAACAGGAACAGAGAAGCCCCCAACCCCAAAATATGTGGTGGGGTACAAGGTATTTTTTGGGACTACTGTGTGGGATCACACCATCCAGCAGGACATGCCCACCCAGATCTTCTGTATCCCATCAACCCAGATTTAGGAATTGGCTCACCTTTGATCCAGGATCATCCATGTGAACTGACAGCAGCGACCTCCCTTGAAAGGTCCCTGGACCCTCTGCCG